AACATTTTTTTTTATTTTATAAAAATAAAAATTTCTTTGTTAAAAAATATATTTATAAGAAAATAAAAAAATAAAAATATAAAAATGTTGATCAATAAAATCTCAAATAATCTAATTTTTCTAAAAGAAAAAAATACATATATGGTATAATGAATATTGATTTAACTAAATGATTATCAAATGTTTTATCAATAAATTCATAATTCTTATAGTAACTATTTTCATCTTGCAGTTCTTGTAACAATACTTTTAAAGCATCATTTGTTTTTTTATTTTTTTCTACTTCTTTGTTTAATTTATTTAATTCTGTTTCAATTTTTTCTTTTAATTCTTTATTTTGTTTTATTAAATCATCCTTATCATTCTTTAATGCATTATTAGTGTTCAACAAATTAATATTTTTCTGTAAATATTCAGAATTTTTTTTTAATGTAATAATATATTTTTCTCTTAAAATTTTACCTCCTGTTTCAGTCATCATAAATAATAAAATAAAAAATAAATATCCAACTTATTTATAGTATTTTCTAATATGTTTGGAATGTGTACGCTTATTATATCCTATTTTTTTTACAAATACTACATCTGATTTTTTTAGCTAATTTATTTTTATTTCTTTTATGTTTTTTAAGTAAAATATGTGTAAGTTTGTTATATCCTATCATATTAACACCTGATTTTTTACAAACAGAACATCTTGATTTTCTTTTAGCTTCAATAACAGTAAACAATATAAATAAAAAAAGAAACAAAAATAAAATCTTTTTTAATTTCATTTTTAATATAAAAAAATGAATATCAAATTGTTATTTATAGTTTATTCATCTTTTTTATATTTAGATAAACTATCAATTAATTCTACTAATTTATACAAAAAATTCTCAGAACATATATTCTTTAATTTTTTTAATTTAACTATAAATTCTTGTATATCTTTTGATTCTCTTACACAATCATATACCAAATATGTTTTAGCTGCAGGTAGATAAGCTTTACAAATATTTTTTTTACAATCATTAGCTTGTTTTATCTCATAATTATTAGTACAAAAAATAGAGATACAACAAAATGATGATTTATAATATTTTAATTATTCAAGATTTTTCGTAAAAAAATCTTGAATACATTCTTCTTCTGTTTGATAAGCTGGTTCCTCATTCTGATTAGACATTTTTTTTTTATTATTAATTTTTTCTACTTTATTTATAATTATTTTGTTCAGATAAACCTATAAATATAATTATAGTACAATCAAATAAACTTTTTAAAATGAATTCATTTTGTAAAACATTAAAACGTAAATTACAAATTTATAAATTTATATTACAATTGAAAATTTCTTTATATATAAATAAAATAAAATAAACAATTATAAAATTTATATCAAAAATTTGTACTAAATAAATTTGATTTTATAAATTTTATTTATATTAAGTATATAAAATTTAATTGTAAATTTATTTATATTATAATATAAAAATTATACATTAATTTTTAATATAATAAAAAGTT